GATACACAACATAATCACTAAGTATTGTTGATTTCCTTATTCTAGTAGATCTCCTTAATGTTGTATCAATATTTTCCTGAGGATCATGTTGTTCAATCGGTTGTTCAACAATTTTAGACAATTTTTGAATATCTTGATCTACTGGATTATCATCAGCAGCTTGTGAAACTTCAATAATTGGTTGTCCAATACCTGTTTGAACTTAAGGGGTGTTGTGAATGACAATCAATCTATTACTTGAAGTGGAAAGTCAAGTATCAATATGATTCTTTCAGAAACAATGTCCTGGAATCGATCGCTCCCACTAATCAAGTCATTCTCAAGAAACTTCGCATTTCTTGACTCCACAGTCCTAGTGCTATGAGTTGGACAATAAAATATGTACCCTTTAGACCTTTCGGCATATCCAATGAAGTACACACTAATAGTCCTTGGGTCTAGTTTCTTTTCTTGTGGGTTGTAAACTCTTACTTCAAACGAACATCCCCAAATGCGTATATGTCGCAAACTCGGTTTCCAACCTTTTCATAATTCAAATGGCGTCTTTGGGATTGCCTTGGTTAGAACTTGGTTTATTATATACACTACCGTTTTAAGAGCTTCGATCCACAGGGATTCAGGATGTTTGGAATTACTTCGCATACTCCTCACTGTGTCCATCAAAGTTCGGTTTCTTCTTTCTGCTACACCATTTTGGTTCGGTGAACCAGACATGGTATATTGGGCAACTATCTCATGCTCTTGAAAAAGCTTCTCAAATGGATCAGATGCTTATCCATCCTCGGTGTATCTACCATATAATTCGAGAACATCACATTTAATATCGAAGAAATTCACAGATTGTGAAGCTGTATAATGCTTATCTTAAATTGAGGCTTTTATTGAATAGATTGCATGTTTCACCAATGTAAGTTATGCTAAAATTGAATATAATGACATAAAAATTGCCTATGGGCTAAATTTTTAATTCAACTATATCTAATTATACCTTATGATATAATTATCAAATCACATTTTAC